CTAACCAATATTTAAAAGAGGTAGGATGTGTCTTTAGTCTGCTCAAAAGTTCTTATTTTTTTTAGACCGAAATACAGCTTAGTTACCAAGTTTGATAAATTATAGTGGAATTCTATGGTATTGATATAGTAATTTCTGTATTCAACTGTATATATTAAACCTAAAAAAAATATTTCATTTCATATCCTCCATATGCAAAATTTTAAAAGGCTTAGCAACCTACATAAAGTAGCAACCGAGTACAAAGGTCATAACTAGCAGAGATAATTGTTTGCTTTACCTTTTTTATTTACTGTTCTATGTTTTAAGAAAACATAGTTTAAGAACTTATTTCTAAATAGCAATAATCTGTATACATATATAATGTATAATAACTGAAATGTAATTGTATTTTACAAAATATTAGTCTACTAAAACACAGCCAAGACAGGTCACTTTGAAAAGACTAAAGGTTTTATATTATTGGGTGTGGTAACACAAGAGCACATGTGCCACATCATTTTAGATGAAACTTACTAGTAGTGTATATTTTAGAAACTTATTAACATGTGCACCATGAGCCAGGGGTACTCTTTTTTTTTTAGGTGTTTTGGTGACTGTAAAAAAAAAAGCATTGTGGAAAGAAGAGTACTGTAATTGATAGAGTAGAAAATGACAAGTCAGAATCAGTCCAAGTAGTGATATACTGCCACACTTCTGTTTCAGTCAAGTCTATCTGTAAACTCCGCCCGAAGTCTCTCAAGTATTCGCCCAGGCACTACTTTGTCTCTTTTATCCTCAACACCTTCCATAAACATAGCCTCAATTTATGTCTTGAAAGATTCAATATATTTTTTCCATACACTTCTCTATGCCTTGGGCATTGCATCCAACCAGCATTAAACTCTTCAGGCACAAAATCATCCATATTATCATTCTTTAGTGCAGCGAACACAATTGATTGTAGAAAGCTTCCAAATTTCTGATTACTTGAAGAATTATGCTTCATATCAATAAAACCAACACAACAAATATCAACTAAATCTACTACATATGTAAGGCCAATTGTTATCATATGTTGCTACTCCAAGCACCTTCGCATTTGAGCCTTTCCTTTGTTTTTACTGAAAGAAAGCATCATTGACATACTTGGCAGACAGTTTCAACCTCTACATCATCATTTTGAAAAGTGTTGAGAGCATCTATTCTATCTTCTTCATTACATGCTTTCCGCTTATTATTTCCATGCCAGCAGAATTCAAATCTTGTTGAATTTGGTGTATGAAGAAGACTACAGAAAGTCAATGATCCACAAAAGTGAACTTCATCTTCGTGATTTGAAGTAAATTCATCCTCATCAACCACCGTCTCTTCACTTCCATCTTGTATGATGACATCTCCTCCTCCTTTTGCATTTTCTTCATCATCTGACCAATTTTTTCCTCTTTCCATATTTTTAACAGCTCCAAGAAGACCTGGAATGTTTCCATTAACACTGCTCTGTTCCACAACCGTAAACAGATGTTGCAAATCTCTTATATCAATCCTGACATAGTCACGAACTGAATATTCGAAAACATGAAGCTCATTGTCAACAACTTTTGCTTAATTAAAATGTTTAAGACTACTAAAAAGAGAAAATGCATCTTTATATGAACTTGTCAGGGTATCAACAACATCATGCTGCAACATAAAAAGGAAAACTCTGGTGCTCTTCAAACCACCATTATTCTGCAACTCATGAAATAGTTCCTTTGGGGAGATTATGTTGTACCCCACATTCACAAACGCTATAACTGCATTCACTGCAACTGCAAAATGCCCATTGATGCATCCTTTACCATCTTAGATCTCAATGTGCACAAAATATTTCGAATGAACATTATGCTTTGTATTGTCTAACTGAACGTAAATTTTTTGTAATATGAGGCAAGTCATGTTTCATCTCCATCATAATACCCTCATAAATCGAAAGAACTGCAACCCACTCCTGCTTTGAATCCCCCAGATGATATGTGATCATAATAATTGATCGAATATTCATGAACAGCATCTCCATCTCCATTATCATCCCCGTCATTCGTACATCTTTATTCACTTTTAGTATATACCATGATTCCATACCATGACATACCTTTCTTTCCGTAGTGTTCAAGTGTCTTCTCTCGAAAGTATAGTGGCTCATATTTCATCTTGTAGTCCATTACTACCAAGGCCTCATCTGCTTGAAGGCTTTCATGTATTTGAGCGATACGATCCCCTGGTTTTTTACTCTCACTCGATGGAGCATGTACACCTTAAACTTCAATCTGCAGTCATCTACAGGGGAATGGTGATCAAAACTCAATTTCTTTTTTCAAAAAAATGGACAATTTTGAATGGGATTTGACAACAATAACAAAATCCATGAGAATTGCCACTTGAATTGCTATTCAGACCATAATCTATACAATACGCCAAATGCTGGTCAAACTCATATTTGAGAAAATGCTCAATCAGTTCCATACATTAGAGTTTCTTTCACATTTTGACTGTGAATGGTGTCAACTAATCACTGGAAAAGCTCCACATTATCACAGAGAAGAATCCCAGAAGCATAATCCATGGCCTTTCTAGCCTTTTGGTCAAAAAATGTAAGACAACTGATTAATTTTGCAAATGACCTATAAGAACTTTTATCAGCCACAGTCTCTAAATAATCCCTATATATATATATATATATTCTCCTTTATTCTCTTACAGCAAAATCACAGTAAACACAAATCCTTTCCATCAATTGTAATCTTCTGCATTTCCCATGATAAAGTTTTGATATTTTGAGGTGACAGGATAAATTCAACAGCCTTTTGAAGAACTGATAAGTTGTATCACTGAACTTGATGGATAGGTGGTTTAGTCTCTATTACCTTCATTAATGCTCAACAGTTCCTTCTAGCTGAGTTAAAATTTTTTGCCAAAGGAAGGAATCAATTCCTGCATCTGCTTGAACTTTAAACCAGCAGAGATAGCTGCAAGAAGGACTTTTCTCACCGTTCTGGCAGAGCTACTTGCATCTTTATCATGACCTTTGTGCAATCAGCTTTTTCACAATTGAGAAGTCTTTGAGCTACATTTCTCACCAATACCTCTGGATCTTGAGGCAAAGTTGCATGATAAACTTTGAAATATACGTCCTCACAGCCATGAGTGGCCCTATTTGAGTCTAGTGACTCAAAAAGACGTAGCATTTGCTCGTTACTCTACACTTTCAAGGTTGTTAATCATACTTACACTCAAACCAAAGAAGTTTCGATTGTCATGAATTGTCATATTACCATTGTTTTGGAACTTTTTTTTTCTAACTTGGGTAATCTCAGTTGGATTCTCCACTTCCAGAACTCATCAAGCAAGTCATCCCTTGGTTCCACGTAGCTAATGACATTTTCTTTACATTTTCCCAATCATTAAGGGTTTGCTGGTTGTTTCCCACCTGGTTTCCAAGCTAACTTTGTTTACGGAGACAGTCCGTCACACACTAAACAAACTTTGAATCTGGGCCATTTACATTTACATGATATCTTTGGACCATTCATCCTGTGATCAATTAAAGGTACAGAAAGTGCCTTAAACCTTAAAAGCACTGAGAAAGATTAACATAAATGATGTCAATCGGCTCAAATTTAATCTGAAATTATGCAATTCAGTGTAAAAAATGTACGTGTCAAAAAATATTTCGACAAGATGTTTATGACAAAAGAGATTGCGTAAATCAACACCTTTTAGCGTGAGGACCCAGCTTGTAAAACTTCAAAAACTTGGACAAAGGTCGCAATGGGTTAGAAATTTCTTATCACCAGAAAAGAGTACCAGTGGCTCATGACACGCATGTTAATACTGTATATTTTAGATGAAACTTACTAGTGTTGTATATTTTAGCCAAAACCTACAAGTACTGTGTATCTTAGATGAAACCACTAGCAATGTACATTTTTCAGGATTTCTTAAAACAAAACTATTTATGTATAATACAGGAAAATTTGTGACACCTGTGAATAGTTAATATATATATATATAT